TAAGTCTTCAACCATCTTTCTCCTTCTATTTATTTATTTTTAATCAGCAGGAATGTTGATCTATTTAATAGCTACTTTGCTATTGCATCCAAGTAAAATAATCTACTCTCCCTTCAAGGGCTGAGTAGAAAACATCTTGTATTTGAATATGTAGAAATTGTTAAAATCTGCTAAACAGTATGTTTGTGAAATCCTTCCTATGAATTTTGTCACATTTCTGTTTAGTCTCTTGTTGAAAGGAAAAGCTGAAATCCAACATGCTGAAAAGAAAGCTTTTCATTGTTTTCTCACAGCCTCCTATCTGATTTAACTTTTCAACCTCCTATGGTTTGGATATATTCTGTCCTCACCAAAACTCATGTTGCATTGTGATCCTTAATGCAGCAGTGTTGGTAGGTAGGAAGTAGAGGAAGCTGCTTGGGTCCTGAGGGTGGAAGATCATGAATGGATTAAGGATGTCCTCCAATGAGTGAATTCTTGTCCCCACATATTAGATTAATTACAACAAGAGCAGGTGATTAATAGTAATCCCTATTTGTCTATTTCATATACATCTGAATCCCCTCCACTTTCCATTGTGAGCTGAAGCAGGACAGAACACTTATCAGAAGCTGAGATGATGCCAGTGACATTTTTAGACTTTCTAGACTCCACAACTGTGAGCCAAAATAAACCTATTTTATGTTGTCCAAAACAGAAAATCAACCAATTCTTATTTCATTTATATTTTAAGTTGCTAAAGTGTATTCATATAACTTGGAATTTGTACAAATAAGAGAGTTTCCTGCAAGAAGAAAAGAAGAGCAGAAAAGAACTAGGACCCAAAAGATCAATGCATCCCAGGGCAAATCACAGGAGCAACATCTGGAGAGAAGTATTGATAGTTAAAGGTACTGGTCTAGAAAAAAAAAAAAGAGAGAGATCTGGGTTCAAACCCCAGATAAGTGGATGAGGTCTATGATTTAGCATGTTAGTCATGTAGTACAATTCCTTTCTGTAAAACAGGATCTTTATAAGAATTTAACTGAGACATTGTACATAGTGAGTTTACTACATCACTTGGTACCAAGTGAGACTTTGGTAAATGCTAGCTATTATTATCATTACCTATTAAGAAGGAAATAGTTGGGTGCAAACATAAAACATAATTTGTCCATAGCAAATGTTCCCTAGTTAAACTGCTACTGTGGCAGGGAAGGGAAGGAGGCAGCAGTAAGCTGCTCAGGAACCAAGGGAACCATGAAGGCTCCAGGAACAAATGGGGATCTCAGTCTACAGACAGGCTCTGTCTTCCAGATTATGGCTCAAATCAATTATCTAACTGGCACAGCTCCCTGAATTCCACCTTCCAAGACCTTTCAATAGTTCTTCCCTGCCTGTAAATGAAAGAAAACAGCAAAACTATCTAAACTTTTGTTTTGGGTCCTGACCTAGATCCCCAATCTCACAAATGAGCGTAGAGCAGAGGTTTAAATAAAGTGAGACAAGTGATATGATTTTAGGGCTCCAGGAGAGTCAAAACCCTTTAGCTGAGCTCAAGACTCCAAGGGCTAAGACAAAGACTTCTCTGGACTGGCTTGCTTTTATTAGGACCAACAACAAAAGACAGGGTAACTGAGGAAAGTGCAGGAAATGAGCAGGACCTTGGGAGTTTTTTCGAAGACTTCTCCAAGTAGTAATTATGCCAATTTAGGAGAACTGTTTTATCTCCAAGATGACATTTATGGTAGGAGTGTGAGTGCAGGAGTGAAATTCCTTCAGCTGTGGTCAATGGTCAATATTTACTTAATTAGTGTTGGAGCCAAGGTGTCTTCAGCTGTGGCCTTATCTTGCCTTTTGTGTTATCTCTGGCTTCACAGGCCACTATAGGACTCAGCCAGGACCAATGATTCATAGAGGTTGCTTACTATGAATCAAGGGGCTGAGGCCTAGGACAGACCCACAGATAAACATAGAGAGCCAATTAGTTAAATTTAAATCCTACTCAAAGCTGCTTTGTGGTGGTCTCCAACACTTTTGGATGGCTACTGACTAGAAAAAAATTACATGTATACACAGAAATTTACTTTACCAGGATTTATAAGCATCAATGAAACTGCTTAAATTATATGTAAAATAGAAATATGGGTATTTTGGGGGAAAGGATCTATAATTTTCATCAGTCTCAAAAAGGCCCATTAACTACCAATAGTAAAGGATAAATGCTTTAAACAAATACTTTTTAAGGTAGAAATACAACAACTTTGCTTCTTATTCTTACCTTAGTATTTGGTAAGCCAAAGGGTGTCATCATATTTATGGCAGGATTTTCTCACATGCATGATCCTACAATTATTCCTATATTTTCCCAGTTTTGATGACTATTTTATTTTTTAATGTTAAAAGGAGTAAAACAGAAAGGTAAAATGAAACAAAACAAAACAATAATAGGATAGTAAGAAATCTACAATTACTCGTTGTAGACTAAAAAAAAGAACTTTGTTATATTTGTATTATACCAAAATATCTGTAATGTGGCTGTACTGTATATATGTTTCTCTTCACCCTTCTCCCTTCTCCCTCTGGGTGACCTAACTGATATGTTAATCAATGCTCTCCTCTGTAAAGAATTGTAAATTCCTGTGAGACTTCTCTGTCCTCTCTTAAGGGAAACAAAGGTCTTCCTCATTCCTTAGTGGATCAAGGAATTTCTCATTTCCTGATCCATGCCCCTGACCTTTACTTTGTGAGCTGTGATGGGGGGGGGGGTCCTGCAAGTGGGGAGGAAGGACACACACAGCTTTGGCAATCTCCAACTACACTGTGTTGCTGGGCCCAGGGTAAAATAAATCAGCGCTGCTTTTTAAAATATGTTTTTGCCTTATGTTTTGAACTTGAGCTTGGGGGCTTGTTTGTGGATTACAAGATTACTATATTACATGTTGCTATCCTCTAAATAGTTACCCAAATGACAGATCCCAGGCCTGCAAAGTCAATCAAACAACATAAATGTCAGATTATTTCCCTATTTCAGTTACTCAATTATTATCATTTAAGCCCCGTCACATCTTGTTGCCTACAGGAGTGGGGGTGAGGGTAGAGGCGGCTTCTTTGCTGCTTCTTCCCAGCCAGTGGGGCCTAGTCCAGCACACAGGGAGGCTGCATGGCTCTCTTGCAGCTTCTCTCCATAATGATTATTTTTAATGAAGATTTATTGTGATTTTTTTTCCACAAATGAGTCTCTTTCTCTCAAATTGTAGCTGTGCATTTAATAAATTGTGTATCTTTTAAAAACATGAGTCAGTGGGTGACAGCTACTGCAGAATAGGCTCAGTCTGTCATCTTGAAACTAAAGGGACGTCTGTGTCTTGTCTCATTGCTTCTGCTTTCTCCTATCCTCTCGGTCTCATATGCTTTTCATTTCTATTTTTGGGTCTCAAACGCTCAGCTCGAAGTTTCATATACTTTTTGGAAGGCTGTACAATCTCCTCCATATTCTGTAACATCTTCCGTAACAATTATTTTGGTGCTAGGGAAGAATGCAAGGGAGTTAGTGTGCTAACCCAGCATTTTCAGATTCATTACTACTGATATTTTGGCTGAATAATGCTTTACATAGTGGACTGTCCTGGAATTAAGCTATCAACCCAGACTTTACCAACTAAATACAGTATCATGCTTCCCTACACGCAAATATAACAATCTCAAATATCTTCAAACACTGCCAAATGGCCTGTGAAGAGCAAACTGCCTCTAGCTGAAAACTACTCTTGAAGAGTGACTGCCATGTATCAGGTAATGTGTGAGACTAGTTTCTTTCATAGTCATATCCTACTTTCTTGCCCTTAACTTTCCTACACTCCTTTCTTTTTTTAGTACTTGTCATGACCCTTTAAAATTAGATACTAGCATCACCTATTAATATCCAAAGACACAGATAGTTAGATGTCTCTCTTCAATTACTAAACAAAGCCAAAGATATTAAATATTGGCAGATCATAGATTCAAAATCAGGACCATTTGATTCTAAAGTGTGTGGTATTTCTGTGGCATAATGCTATATTGTTTACTTTGTTTTGCAAGAATCATGTTACTCTTCAGAAGTAGTCCATTTCTTACAATGGTATGTGAATAGTCAATCTTAAGAAAAAATAGGGCTTTTCTTTTAGCTTTCCATAAAGTCCATAAGGAATACTGGAGGCTATAAAAATCTGATACTAAAAGCATTCATTTTTTATCATTTATATTAACTATGCTGAAATTATTTAATTCTTTTGAAGGATGAGAAAATATATTACAGAAAAAAATCATCTAAATGATTACTTTAATGTACAACCTTAGCTTCATGGCATTTGCTGCTTTTCCTCAGGGGAAGGTTACTTCTCCAACTTATTTCTTTGCAATTGATTTCTAAAACTTCAATTTCTCTAGACCTTTTGCATTAAAAGGAGAATAGGTCTGCTAGTTTTTTCCCTCAGTTTGGAGGAATCTGAATTCATCACAATTCCCTCATTTAACAACCTTCAAAACTAAATTTCAAGAAGCAAATTATATTTTAGGACAGAAAGTTCAAACTCAAAGTATTGCACCAGATTCACAGGCTTAAACTTAGAAAAGGCGAAATTAGTTACTTATGCTTACTTTCAAATGCAATTGGTAAAAAGTGAACCTTTATAAACTTCTGAAAAGAATAATAAAGCACTGACAAAGGGATGGATTGCATTTCTTCCAAAGAGCAACTTTGTCTTCTGTGGTTTTTGATGTGATAGCATCAAATGGCACAGTCAGGTCTGCTAAGGTTTCAATTATTTCATAATTCAGGCAAATATGCACTTCCAATCAGCTTATAAATCAATAAGGTTGATATAGTACAGCTAGTATTTCATCATGCCCTTTGGCTACCTGACCCATCTCCCATCAAGTTGCCATGCTTCCTGCCAGAGCAGAAGATTCCAATCTATCTGTAGCTCTGTAATTTTGGTTAGGAAATTTTTACTTCGAAAAAATAAACACTTACTAGGTTAAAAGATATAAATATTACAATCATTTTATTGAAAACTATTAAAGCTTCAAAACCACTACACATTGATCGCATGAACATACAGCACTTGCCCGCAGAAAGAAACTAGAATTTCTGAGACCTGAAAAAGGCCTCAGAAATGATTTTCCAGAATAAAGAGAATATATGTTTCAAAGCACTTAGATTTCTTCTTCCATTTTTTTTTCTTAATTGTAGGCACTAAGCACTGTAAAAAGTTCTGGGTATATTGAGGTGTAGATTTACCTTTATTAGCTAGAACTTGGGTATGCCACACTGCCTCTGGTTTATTCTAAGGGCAGAGGTGGACTATAACACCTTTAGGACTTAATGTTGTGTGCCTATCATGTTCTTACCTTATTTTAATGCTATTAAGAATTAGAATAGGAAATTTTTTTTTTTTTTTTGCTAACTTCACTTTAGATAGAATAGGAAATTCAACTGTTAGATTTTTAGATCAGTCTTAACCTATTTCACTTCAATGTTGCAGTGGCTTTACTCTGCCAGGGGCTTATTACTGAAGCTCTTTCCACTCTCAAACTTGATCTTTTTTCCCTGAGTTAGGGGATTAGGGGCTGGCAAAGCTGGTGGTGGAAGCATGTGTGACCTATTAATTGTAGCACCCAAAGAACCAGTGCGTAGAACAGCCCCCATGCCCTGCAACTGGACTTCTCTTGAGAACTTGAGCAGGTTTTTAATAGGATGACCTAGACTCGATGTCAGCCTGAGGCTTGGGATTACAGCACTGCCTGGGGAATCATAAATAGAAGTTCTCATAGGTTTCCTCAAGGCTGGGACAGTATAAAAGGGCACAGATCCCAAGAAGAGATTGCTGTCATGGCTTATCTCATAATAGAGGAAACTGAATCCTCCAGGATGTATTTTTATCTTGCTTTTTCTTCTTTTACTCAGCCCAAGCTGCATAACAGTTTCTCTCCTCTTTTCACTTTTACTTTCTTTTTATTTATTTATTTATTTATTTTACTTTCTTAAATAAACTTTGTCACTGCTTTTTGCTCATCTTGTTCAATTCTTTATTTGAGACAAGAATCTACAGGAGTGGAGAGCAATTCAAACCCAGTAACATTTATTTGGCAAGTCATTTTTAGAAAAAGCTACCAGATAACGTTCCCATTGGTAGCAACAAAATTCCCCAAATCAAAGTAGTCTCCTATTATAGAGTTTGCAAATATTCTTTCCCATGGTTTTTCTTGTGTGAGGCTTTGGTTTCTTCACTTAAAAAGAAATCTCATAAGCCCTCTTGAAGTAGGGTACAAGTAATCTTAAATGTTTTCCCATGGCAGAATATTATTTTACCATTTACATTTAGGGAAAGATAACTTGAGTAGCAGTTAATATTTATACACTCCTACCCCATGCCAACTACTGTTGTGCATAATTTGTATATGTGAAAGTATTTGATCCTTTGAGATTTCTGTGAAGTAGGTATTTACATCCCTTACCATTGAAAGCTCTTTCTGGTCATCATGGTCCTGTAAGTTTATATTTGTAATCTCATGGAAAAGTTATTGGAATTTCAGCAACTTAATTCAGATCTACCACTTCCAATGCAACCCAAGATGAGAATAGAGACATTAAGGCATATTTGTACTTTTGGAGAGCCAAGGGGGTCCCCAGTGCAGGAAGGATGATGGCTAACTAGAACAAAGATCTCGATTCCCAGTGCCAAACCCAGGTTTTATTGATTTGTGAAGAAGGGAGTGGCTTAAGGATGAGTGAGTGTGAGAATGGAGGAAATTATGTGTATACTGTGAGCTGGGCTAGATAAGAGGCCTGAAATCACTTCTGCAATATGAAGAAAGAAGGATATACAGAAAGAGTAATGTGCCTAAGACAGTTCGAGGTAGTATCTAATGTTTTGGGGTTGGTGCTTCACTTCTGAAGTGTAATCTTTTATACCAGGGATAGCAGACAGTGTGGAGCACTGCTCTCCTGCCCAGCTAACACATGTGTGCTTCTTGGAAGCTACAAGTTGGGACAACACTGACCTTCAGCTTTGCTATCTCAGCACCTGGGCTGTACCCATTTGCATCATTTAAAGCCAATTGAAGGGATAATTTAGCCAGTTAATTACATGTCAATACATGGAAGTAGGGCCAGGTCTTGCCAAAATGCAGATACTGCTCTTCTTTGAAGGACAGCCATCCAGATGGCCTTCCACACCTTACTAATTCTATTCAACTCCTAAGTTCAGTGACTGAAAGTCAGATAGAGTTAAGCAATTCTGGATGGCCAGGAAAACTGAAGAACCTAAATCCACTTTAAGGTCCTTACTTAGGATAAGAAAGGCTTGACATTAGCTAGAAAGTAATGTCATTTAAAATTATAAATGCAAATCCATTTGCTTCATTCTTTGCAATTACAAGAGCAGAGAGTCAGAAAATTACAGTTAAGTCATCTATGAGACATCTCCATTATCTGGTAAATAGCATGATACACAGGAGGAAACAGAAAGCACAAGTAGGTTTGGGAAAATGTCTAGAATTTTATGAATAGTGGTCAGAGCCAGAATGTTAGCTGGGCACTATGGTCCAGAGTGCAACTTTACTTTTCTGCTTTGTGGCTTGTCGTGCTATTTATGCAGGCTTCCATGTAGATTTTCTGAGAATGTCTTCAGTGCGGTGAGTCATAGATCTCATCCTATTTTTTCCAGAGCTCAATTTGTCAACATTCTGATTATATTTCAGTTAGTACCGATATAAACAAGTTTTAGATAATGAAACTTGCTTTCTATATAGATCAACAGTCTAACTATATGACTTATGGACCCATCCACTGAAGAACTGTCTTAATGAATACAGTGGAAAAAAGTAAGTGATATGCTTTATAGGAAAAGCTGTCTCCTTCTTCACTTATGCAGGTATTGTAATTTGAGTTCTTGGTCTTGGAACTCCTTTTGTAATCTCTGAAAATTTAGAGCATCTTCCAATCACTGCTTGTTCTCAACTCATCATGTTTTTTTTTTTTTAACAACTGGTTATCAAAGCTAGTTAGGTTTACACCTATATTTAACCTCCCAAAATTTCCTAAAGCATTTAATAACTAATGTTAATGATAATTTTTCTTTAGAATACAGGCAGCACACTCATCAATCATGCAAAAGTACAGCTTCTCTGCATTTAAATGAGTTGCTCTGATACAAGTTTGCTAACTGCTGTCCAACTAGTCAACTAGAAGATAAGCTCATGCCTACATCTACATCTTATTTATGAATGTGACCGGCAGTATCTTTATAAATTTTAGTGAAAAATAACATGCCTGATTCCAAGTCTATTTACACTTTCACATCGCAGCAGGTCTAGACACACACACACACACACACGAACGCACGCACGCACACATGCACGCACATGCTCTTGCACAGGAACTAAAATTACATTTAAACAGTAACAGTAACAGTGTTGAGGCCTCCCAGTGGTAAGAGCCATTGCTATACCTCTAATTACAGTGTTTGCTTCTTTGTCAGCATGTAGTGAAAGTTCAAAAGCATGTGGCAGATGCCACAATGCCCGAGAAGCCACACTAAACACAGTGCACAGTCTTGGAGTGGGACTTCAGGGACAGCAAAAAATGTAATTTTAGGGGAAAAAAAATACATGAGGCTTTAGACTAACCTAAGAGACATAAGATACCACAGTGAAATTTCCAAGCATGCAGCCACTGTGCCTGGTGATTATAGATGTTCAGCTGAGAAGTGCTTTAAGGCAGCCTAGGATAGCTGCATTTGGAGATTTAATCATGATTCCATCGCTCACCAGCTGTGTGACCTAGGAGGCAGCACTTGCCCTTTTCTAAGCTGTGGTCTCTTTATTTGTTCAGAGAGGAGGTGAGAGAGTATGATCTTTCTGGTCCTTTGAGATACAAAGAACTTTTTGTATTTTAGAGCACTACTTACCTTGTCTGACAGATGTTTCTGAGCACAGAGGTTTCAAACCATTGCAAAATACCCTTGGAGATTCCAAAAAGGGATCTAAATCTAAGTCAGTATTTTCCTTATTAAACAACATTGTTCGCCAATGAATGCTCATTAACCATGTGTAAAACATATACCATAAGAAACAGTTTAACCAATGCACAATTTTCATCAACATTTCTTTTTACCCCCTCTATGGGCTTAGGCCTATCAAATATACAAGGAAGACTGTAGAGTTTCTAAGCAATCTCAGAAACGTTAATGGTCTTATATTCTTAATTAAGATAATCTCAAGTGTTTTTCCTTAAGAAATATTTTCTTACGTAACATAAGTAGATCTGACTGAAGGAGTCAATGGTAAAAAGTCTCTTAAGCCTCGTCAATAGAAATGCTGTAACAGATATCTCTTGCTCATTTATAAAAGCTTTAAAAACTTGTGCTATCACATAAAATGTAAAAATATAACATCTGTATATATTACAAATGATTAGTAAAACTATTAGCTGACAGTTTAAACATCATTCTCAAAAATCTTACTTCACTGAGTACTTGGAGAACATCAGGCTGGTGGTTGATAGAATTTTAAAGATCAAGTTTGTTTTTAATTTTAAAGGCAAAAGCTTCATAGAAATTTATTTGTGCACTTGTGAAATTACTCATAAACATCGGGAATCTGTGAATCAGTCAATCCCTTTCATGACTGATGATGATCCCGTAAACTGCTGGGAAGTGTACCCTACAGCTTAGGGATTGGTGTGGCAGCCATTGCTATGCTTTCAATTGCACACTCATCGGTACCTCTGAGGATCCGGAAGTAACCGTCCTCACCCCAGCCTGTGCCCCAGCTGTTTTTCACAATCCAGTAATCCCTCCCACTGACTGGGTCTGTGCCATAGCCCACAAGCAGAACAGCATGATTCGTCAGCTCAAAGGGGTTGAAAGGGTCTCTCAGCCCAGTGCGGTGGTAGATGCCTTTGTGGTAGTGTAGAAAATCATCATAGACTTCAAAAGCAACCGCCATAGGCCCATGCTGAACCAGCTCCAACTTCATCAGGGCTTCATTGCAGCCCCCATAAAAACCTCCCACGTAGTGGTACTCAGAGGTGTAATAACGCACACAGTCCTTTTTCACTTTGCAAGGAACATCAATGCCTTTGTAGGGAAAGCAGGATTCTTCCACCAACCCAAAATCTTGGGCGTACTTCCCTGCGATGAGGTATGGGAAACCACCTTCACAACCTGAATATGAAGAAATATGAAATGGCTTATTAAAAAAGAGCACATCAGAAATTGTACCACTTCCTACTTGTTTTCTTCTCTGTTACATTACTTTTTATTTGTTACCCTGAAAAAGTGTTTTTAGCTTACATGCCACTTCATTCATCCATCTATTTGCCATCCAGCTAACCATCCTTTCACCTTTTCTAGGTAATAGATATTTATTTAGCATCTAAGTTTTTAAGGATGAGCATAGCAGGCATGTGACTGGTTTTTGGTAAGTATCAGAAAGAATGAAAGGCTCACTGACAAATAATCTTTTGACAGGGGTTTCACTGCAGAGCCAGGAAACTTTTCAGTGGCCAAATTTAGGGTTCAAAATGGAAACTCTGAAATAGCAACGTTTCTCTCTAAATTAGCTAGATAAATATGGCTGGTCTTCCTACATACATATGGTGGTTCTGGAAGCCTAATTACAGAATTTAACAAATAAACCAGTATTAGTATGGTTATAATAAGAATTAGGTTTTAGAATACAAGCTTGCTGCAAACCAAAACTCTAATGCTTATAAGCTGAATCACTATCAAAACATTATAAATCTTCTCCTGCCCATTCTCTACCTATGGATGGGGACAATACCTTCTTCTCATGGATTTGAGCACTATTAGATCAATATGTAAGAGGCAGTACTCACTTAATGTATAACTACAGACATTTTGCTGGATGATGCAATAAATTCCAGGAGAAACCATCCATCAGCAAGTGACAAGGCCAGATTTGCAATGCAGCTAGTTTTTCTACTGCAGAAACTGCTTTCTTTACTGCAGCATCATTTTGCCTTCATTAGTGACAGCCAGCTACATAGAGATAAATAGTTCATGAAATAATGCTGAATAATGCTTACCTTGAGCATACTGGCTACATGATACAATCTCTTGAGGACTCAAGATAGGGGTCTGAGTGTTGTTGGTTAATATACGAATTCTTGCTTCTAACATACCCACAGAAGCAAATGAGTAGCAGCTTCCACAAGATCCTGGAGATGGAAAAGAAATACAGATATATTCTAAGAGATATCTGATAAACCATACAAAAACCTGGATATGATGCACCATATATTCAATGTTCTTGTTCACAAGGTTGATCACAATAAGCAATAGAAGATTCAATAACAAATACTATGTCTGAGATCCACTTGACAATATTCTTAGTGATGACGAAAAGTTTATGTCTACAAAACCTAAGCCATCAGATTGAAAAGAAGCTGTGGACAGATACATGTGAGCTGAACTACTAAATATCTCTAATGCAGTGGAATATTTATATACCCCAAAATCCCAACCCCAATGTTGTAGTATTAGGAAATGGATGAATAGAATTAGTGCTCATAAAAGAACTTCCAGAAAGATATCTCATCCCTTCCAGTACATGAGGTCACAATAAAAGGCAGTCTAAAGAGACTGGAAAGATGCATTATCACCAGATATTAAGAACTTTCTGGTACCTTGATCTTGAAAAATCTACCTTCCCAAAATATGAGAAATAAATTTCTATTGTTTCTATTTACCACTCTGTTTGTTATTTTCCTAAATGTAGCAACTTTAACAGACTGAGCCAAGCAGCATTTTTAAAGTATATTGGGTATACTGAGAATGGCACAGGTGTGGGTATATTTTGGAGCACTAGATTTAACCTGCATGGAGGAGACAGATACAAGACAGCTTAAGGAAGGTAAAACAGAAATTATACTGATGAATATCATATGTAAGGTAGGCTGTGAGAAGACAGACAGTCATAAGAAGATGAAAAGTAGCTGGGGGAGAAGAGAAGTCTACCTATCGTAACACCTCCCTCTGCTACCTGAAGGACAACATCAAGTAACTGCTAGGAAAATAGTTGCATTCAAGAAAATGAAAAACTGTTGTATCGTGAGATAATGTACATGAATTATTTTGTTTCAAAATATTTGCATAAAGGAAATAGATATGAGAAAATATAGGCAACAAAACTGAGATTTGACTTGGTAACAGATTTTTGAAAGAAATGAACACAGAATTTTAACATTATTGTTTAATATCTATTATTTCACATTCTATTATTTTACTTCTGCTTCTGGCATGGGCACAAAATCTACATGGAAAGATGCTTATATTAAATTCAGATCCAACTCTACATACATAGTATGTTATTAAATTTATTATTTATTATTTGAATAATTTGAATGGTGAATGTCCCCTTATGAATTGCCTTATGAACAGTCAATTATATAAGTCAAATTATTCATTCTATGTAAAAAGAAGTAAGTACTTTTAGTAAACCTCAACTTAATGATTTAGCAACTACCTTTTTTAGAGAGAAAAGTACTCAAAGATATTATGCATTTGAAAAATTACTCAGGATCCTTTTTTTCTCTTCTCCAAATAATGATTTGTATCCCTCAGGGGCAAAGGAAAGCTAGGCTATTCTGTGCTTAGCCATTAACACTCAAAACACTATTTGAAATACTTAAATTGTTTTTCCTCAAAATAAATTGTGCATTGTCTTCAGTGTTCAAAGGGAATATGCTTTATTTGTCTTGCTGCCTGACACAATGAAAAAACAATTCTTGTTTGTGGGAAGGAGTCAAGGAATGAATAATACATACATATTTATACCCAGGAAATAAACTAAATTAAAAAGAAACTTATTTTTAAAAGTTCTGTTTTCACATTAAATGCTATCATTCCTGATGCCCCTTAAATTCTCTCTAAAAACAATCTCAAACTTGTTCATATCATGTCTTCTTTTTGTTGTTGAGAGGTCATCTCAATCATGAAGATTAGAAGAGAAACCTTCATAAAGGTGCCCTGAAATCCATTTACAATGCAACCTAATCACTTGATAGTGTGTCACTGAGGCACCGAGAGAAGTGATTTCAAGATCACAGAGCTAATAACAGATGGCAAATGCTGGGAGCCTTATTGTTTCCTACTGCAGGATTAAAGTCCTTTTCAGTTTATGTCTGTATTTACTTTAAAGCATTTTCAGATTTCCTTCCATATCATGTAATCGTTGAATAGAAGAAATATTTTGTTTTTCAAACAATTCAGATTACGCTACATTTTAGGACCTCACTTACAATGTCAGAGAGCTAAATGTGGGTACAACCCAAAGCTCCAACCAAAGCCATTGTTCCTCTCCATGAGAAACCAAAGTCTTAGGCACACATACAGACTCTCATTCCAAGAGAGTTTGGAAAGGGTCACATTTGGCAATCCTGCTTTCTCAGCCCATAGCAGCCATGGAAATAATCTTTCTCAGTGTGAATCATTAAGCCCTCATTATCTGGTCATCTGAACACTATGGAAGGGACAGGTCACAAGTACATTCAAGGGTTCAGAATGTTCTTTGTTAACACAGAAATCATAGGAATGGAAAAGAAGATAACCATTTTTAAGCAGAAGGCCACCTGTCAAGGTCCTTAGTGCCTCATTTTAAAGGCACTTGGCTAGGAGCATTATCAGCTGGATGTGGGGGCACACATACCTAGTCTGTAATCCCAACCCTCTGAGAAGGCAGTGTACTGGGTATCACCAGCTCATGGCCCAGCCAGAACAGAGTGAGACCTAGTTTCAAAAATGCAAAACAAAATCACTTCCCCAGAAACAAAGAGAAAGCAGTATTATCCATTAAGAAGATTAGAATTTAACAAAAAAAACATGGATGCACATTCTCTTTTCCTTCTCCTGTTCGGTTTCACTGTGTGACCCAGGGCAAGTCATGTGACTATTGAAAATCTTTCTCTCTCTCTCTCTCTCTCTCTCTCTCTCTCTCTTTTAATCTTGTGTTTAGGATGGATCAGATGGAGCAGATAATTGAAAATTCCTTCCTTTCTACTCAAACAGTATTTAACACCAAAAGTTAAATGGGTCAGATTTTAAATATTAGGAAAACATGCTGCATTTCCTAGTTAATATAATCCATTGCAACCACTCCTGTCTCTCACACACAACAATCAGTAAAGACAGCACAGTGAGAGAACAAAGTTTATCTCATCCAGTCCCTCCCATGCCACTAAGTATATTAACAAAGGTTGTTCTTAAAGCTGTTTTCAGGTACAAAGATAAAAGCTCATGTGTCCTTCTAATATTTTTTTTTTCTTCATTTTGATTTGTACTTTAGAGAGAAGCTGTATATTCCCTGTGGCTACCTGAGAATTCTGGATTATATAGAACACTGGCACTGTTAAAATTAGTGGAAATTTTCAAATAGTGCAATTTGTAGGAAGAAAAAGTAAGTATCCTCTCCTAACCTACAGTCCAAAAAGAAAGAAAGAAAGAAGAAAGAAAGTAGACAGAGAAATTTTAAGTACTGTTTCCTCAGGTTTTTGACATGATACTACAATTCAATCAATTAATCCATCAAAGCTTTCTGTTTTGAAATTGCCATTTGTTTGAACAAAGCATATTTATAACACTCTAAGAATTGGGAGCATTAGAAACTATAATAGATTTTACCATGTTAAAAAAAAATCCAATGCTAAACACTTCTACTTTAGTAAGTCTAATTTCCTTCTCTAAATTATTGCCTAAATCATTTGTCAATCCCTCTTTTGGGAAGAGAATAGAATTATACTTTTCTTCTAACTTGTCTTATTTGCTCTCACTGAATTTTAAAAATTTCATTTAAGAAGTTACCACATTGTATTTTGCTGTTTTATTTGCAAATCTTGCTAAATTACAAATTTCTAGGACAATGACTGTACCATATTAATCTTTATACTCTCTGCCATTATAAAAACATCCTGAATTAGATTAAATGCTCTATAAAAACATCCTGACTTAGATTAAGTGTTCTATAAACAACCAAAAAAAGGAAAAATATATCATCAGTAACTCCCATTATGGAGCACTAAAAACATGCCAGACATGATCTTAATCACTTACTTACTCCTCCCAAGTAAACATGGTGGATCTGGTCGATGACGTAGTGGACTTTAGTCTTCTCTTAACACCAGCCCTTTGTTTTCACTGTCTCTTTATTTCTCAATAACATGAAAAATTTTGTCATTTCTAATCTCACCTTTCCAGAGCTATCTCCAACTACTAGAGAAAGGGGAAGTCATTTCAGGACCTACAATTTCTCTACAGCTGATGAGTTCTAGAAAAACTGTTAGAAAGGCAAAAGAATGACATAGTTGGTGTCAGTGGAAGGGCAAGAGACTGCAGACTGGCTAGTATACTTGCTTACAGTGCCACACCCAGAACCCACAAGAACTAGATCTTAAAGGAACAGGTGATAAAAGCTATGAAGTACCACAGATCGATTTTGGATAAATTTTTAGGAAACAAGATAAATAGTTAATCTTTTGGTATTACAAACCTACAATCCTTCCAAAATACACTAGAGTTTCCCTACAGCAAATGCTATACAACTTTTTTTTTTTTCCACTAGAAATATAACAAGCATGTAAACTATTCTCTTTAGACTGACTTAAAAAAACAAACCTGAATATAGGTTGAGTATTCCTTATTCCAAATGTGTAGGACTAGACATATTTCAGATTTTGGAGTTATTAGGTTTTGGATATGTGCATAGACTTTTACAACTGAGTATCACTAATTAAAAAATCAGAAATCCAAATCCTAAAACTTTTTTGAGATGACACTTCAGAATAACACAAATGATTCTCCAAGTAATTGTTGGCTTAAACTAATTTGATAACAAGTGAGAGTAAAAGAAGAAAGAAGTTCAAGTCATATTATATCAAGTTTTTGAAAATGATAAAATTCAATTATGTAGCAATCTTGAACTTTGCTTCTAGGTCATTAAGCAACTGATGTAATACTATTAGGTAAATATTCTGTTATAAAATGAATTAAAATGTTCCTACAAAGCTCTAAAGCAGTATAAAAATTTAAGCATGTATTTTCTGGGCTCATACAATAATTAAAAATCAAATGATGGGGAATGAGAAGGTCAAATGGCAAAGAAGGATTTTTAGCAAACCACCTGCAGCAAAAAGGACTAATTTTAATCATTACTATATACAATTCTTTGCGTCCACAGCAGCCTCTCCTACTAACAGGGCAAATGAGCTTGATTTCTTTATCAGTCAGGCTGCTGCCACTTACCTGAAACATGTATTGAGAAGGAGGTTTAAGAAATGCTGAGCTCAAGTGGAAAGCTTATCTATTACTCAAGGTTGTCAATGGATATAAGAGGAAGGAATGAGAATTCATAGGGCATATGTTTTCCATGTCTGTATTAAAATGAGTCATATCCATTTAATTTCAATAAGTCAAAAACCAACCTGCAGGCTATTACATAACAAATATTGAATCGTTAAGAATAAATTAATAAAACTTCAAACATTATTATTACTATTATTCTTTACCTTGGTTTCGAACAGGTGTAACAAAATTGATACCATTAACATTTCTCCAGTCCCAAGATGCTGGCAATTGTAAAATCTTTCGCTGAATTTCAGCAGTCAGTGGTACAGGTTTGGGCCTAGGATGGAAAGATATATTTCACATCAATATATACTTTTCCCTTTGAGAGTGGTTTTCTAATCTCTAGTCTTACAATTTCAATGTTGGTCTACTTAGCATCCATGTTCAGGTCCCCAAAGCACTAACAGCCTTGTCCCAAGCATGTTTCAATGTGTCTGTTATGGTTTGTGTCTAGATGTCCCTGCAAAGTCTCATGAGGTCATGGGAGGTGGACTTTTTGGAAGCAGTGGAATCTAGAATATGTGTGGTTTATTATTGTCTAGTGCAAGGACAGGTTGTGTGAGTCTACACTTGCCCACCTGTGTACACTATAAAGAAGGAAAAGAGGTTTGCTCCTCCTTTTTGGCTCTTGTTGCTTTTGCTGTCTTCTGCTGCCATGAACTGCACCATGCCACCCTGCCTTGGAGCCAGTCAATTATGAACTGATAACTCCACAAACTGTAAGCTAAATAAACTTTTACTTCCTTAATTTTGGTGTCAAAAGTCTTTTACGCCATCAATGAAAGAAAAGTAACTAAGACAGTGTCTACTACAAAATAAGAGTTTCTGTTAATCATTTCATTTTTTAATATCTAGTCACTTTTTTTGCAAAATGACACTGGTTTTATCACTGTGATGGAATTTTCCATAGGCATGAATAGCTGAATTTTCTTTCTTTTTTTTTTTTTTGTGCACCATTTTATTTTTTTGATTTTTTAAAAGAGAATAAAACAAAAGAGAACAGAACAAAACAAATCAGAAAAAACAATGCAAGCAACACAGCACTTCATGACAAGACAACCAGATATCAATGGTAGCTACTGTAATGTCTCTTTTCTTTGAAATAGTTGAGTATACCTTCACACACAATAGTATCAAATATAACAAAATAGTATGAAATCATTCAAGAGAATGAAAGTATTACAGGACATCCAACACCAAATAACTGATAATGAACAATGGCTATTATAGTATCTCATTTTCCTTAAAAATTTGTTTATACTATCATACATATTAAAATTCAGTCAGACACAGCAGGATAAAACCAATGGAAGCGGAAGAATAAAAGCATGGTAAACTTCAAAGCAAGATGATATTAAATCAGCAATGGCTGCCATAATGTATTGTTTTCTTCAAAGTAGCTGTTCATACCATCATACATAATAAAATCAAAACAGAATAAAACCATTCCAACCAATGAATGAAAATATTATAATACTTCAAAGCAACATAATGGGGAGCCATGATTACCACAAAATCTTATGTATTTTTACCATTTTTTACACTAGAGAGACGATATGGTATTTATATATGTGAGTTTGATTTATTTCACTTATGAGTATGGTCTCAAGTTGCATCCATTTATTTATAAATATCTCAATGTGATCATTCTTTATAGCTGAGTAGTATTCCATTATATAAAAATATCACATCTTTTTTATCCATTCCTCAGTTGATAGACACTTAGGTTGTTTCCAAGATCTGGCTATTACTAATTGTGCTGCTATAAACATGGGTCTACATATATCACTGTGGTATGATGTTTTCAGTTCTTCTGGGAATATGCCCAGAAGTGGAATAGCTGGGTCAAATGGGACCTCCAATCCCAGGTTTTTGAGAAATCTCCAGACTGACCTCCATAGTGGTTGCACCAGTTTGCACTGCCACCAACAGTGCAGAAGAGTTCCTTTTTCCCCACAACCTCTTAGTATTTGTTGTTGGTAGTTTTCTTGATCCTGATCATTTCTTCTGGAGTGAAATGGAATCTCAGTGTGGTTTTAATTTGCATTTCTCTAATGACCAATGATGCTGAACATTTTATCATGTATTTATTTGCCATTTGTATTTCTTCATCTGAAACTGTGTTCATCTCAGATCCCATTTTTGGATTGGGTCTTTGAATTTTGGGGTCTGATTTTTTTTCAATTCTTTATATGTTTTGGACAGAAGTCCTTTATCTGAGGGACAGTTCACTAAAAATTTTTCCCCAATTTGTGGGTTTTCTTTTCACTATGCTGGAGATTTCTTTCAACATGCAGAAACTCTTTTATAAGACATGATCTGTGAAGTATTTCCTGTGTGGTTTGATTCTTGTTCATGAATCACTGATTCTGTTATTGATTCTGTGAAGTATTTCCTGTGTGGTTTGATTTTTGTTCATGAATTCTCTACCTACCCCTATGTCTTCAAGATTTTTATCTTCCAACAGATTTAGTGTTTGTTTTAATATTTAGACCTTTGATCCACTTAGACTTTAGTTTAGTACACGGTGATAGGCATGGGTCTAGTTTTAGGCGTAGGGAGAGCCAATTGAATAGCTGCACTTTCTTATTTGCTGTTGTTAGACTTGAAAGGAGGTAGGAGCTGCTAAGGATGGCATATAAAGGAGTACAAAGAAAATGCAAGACTTGCAGAAGTTTGACTCAAAAGACAATGGGTTGGTTATAGAAGTAAAGTTGACAAAGAAAAGCAAAAGTCAAAGTGTAGGGTAAGCAGGCCTGCTCCATAAATTACAGCTAAAATTGTTTCATCGTTATAGAACCACACGTTGTATGACACAGCTGAAAATAATAGACACAAAGGAGAGTTGCCTGGGCTCGTGAATAAAAGGTCTTCATTTCTGGAAACATGAAAATTATCCTACAAGCATCTCTGTATTTAGACTTACAACACACATACCCTCACCACGTGCACATACTCATAAACATGAACATACACAAGTGCAGAGCGCTCCAGTTCCTGACTTCTTGGGGTTTCTGTCAGCCAAATGCCAGCAGCACTGCACCTCTGTGCGGCTGCCCCTTTGATCTAAAATTGCTGCTGTCCTGTTTTTGCACTCTCAGAGTTTTCTGCAACTTCTCGTTTTAAAAACTGCTCACATAGCAGCCTCAATCAACCAGCACCCAAACTCTCTCTCTTCCTCCCTTCCTTCTTCTTTCTTTTCCCTCTTTTAATTCATTTGTTAGGACACTGCTTTTATACTTTGGTAAAATTTATTTATTTTCGTCAGTGTAAAGTATTTGAATTTCTTACTTTACTTGGTACTGTCATATCACACTGTTCTAACCTTTCCAGAGGTACACAGTGGGGTTTTTACTAAGGTTCCAATTTACTCAATGGAAAAGTTTTCTGGTGAACTACTTTAGGCCCTCAGCACCTATTTTCCAGTGATCCCCTCTTACAGAAAGGACATATGTTGAAATTACGACATGATATAGGAGAGATGAAACAAAAACAAATAACATTCAAATTAAATCAAGAGTAGTGCAATCTTTATAAATGTAGTAAGCATAGACTTACTTACTACATAAAAATATTAATTATTCAAATAAATTAAAATATTAAATAAGTTGAGAATATTTGTTTGAACTTCTATGACACAGAGATAAACATAAGGTAATCTTTGCCCACGTGGAAGATAATGTTAACACGCACAAAGCACACAAAAATTATTTTAACAAATATTGCCATCAATACACACATACCAAAAAAATCCAAAACAAAAACCCAGCATGACAAGGAAGGCTTTCTGGGGTGAAAATGAAGAAATCAAAGAAGAGTTTAGGGAATGCTGAAGTGATAACTAAAGCATTTTTAAGGATAATGTACATTACTGGCTCTTTATGATTTATTTCTAGATTCCTTAGGAATCTGGTAAAAATTCTGGACTCAACAAGACATCTATAAACAACAAACTTTATTAGTTTGAGCAGCGTGAATTATTTGCTCCTAAATCTCAGATAAAAAATATAAATTGAAACAGAAATAATCTTTGAGAGTGTCTGTTACATCACTTGATTTACAGCAGAAGTGATTAGGTATAAACATTACTGAAAATCAGGCAGCCAGATTATACTATTTCTGTCATCACCTCACTCCGTCTTATTTTAAACTTTCTACAGAACTTGTGAGTAAAAGCAGCCCTTCACAAACCTAACCATTTTCTGAAACAAAGGTGATAGACAGAAAGCCTAACAAAGCACTGAAGAATTGCTCAGAAACATGACACATGGTGAGGCTGTTGTGTCTAAGGCTCAGGTCTTCCAGGTAGAAGACAGTATTGTAGACTCAAATGCTAATACACACACTGTTCTCGCCTTCTAGGGGTTCCTTTGGGGTTTTATTGTTAATTAGGTCTCAAATGCCCACTTCTATCACGTACATTAGCACTCCATTAAGAAGGGGTTATGATATGTGCTTTTCCTGAAATTTGAGTAACTAGAGTATCTCCTAGAGTAGCCTTTCCCTACACTATGCTTTGAGAAATATCATGGAAGATTCTTTTATGAAAGGTGAAGAAACATGTGAAGATACTCATTTTTGCATAAGAATATCATGAAATATCTGCAGATATAAGGCTACTGATGTATTTTAGTTATGTGAGCAATCAATCTGTAGTCTGTTTCATTAATAATCATTTGGACCATGAATTCTTCATAGCTATTAGGGAATTAACCATCGCACCTTCTCAGAACTAAATAATATTTCAAAATATAAAGGTAAAATAAACTACTTAGTTAATTGATTCTCATTTGCTTTCTATCCTTTCAGTTTTTTCCTTCTTTCCTTTACTCATATTTTCAATATTTCCTGAAACAAGTTATGGTATTATAAGAAATCCTCAGCCACCTAAAGAATGTTAAAGCACTTTGCACAAATCCTTTGTAGTCCCAGTCACAGTCACAATTATTTTGAAAAATAATTTTTAAATTCATTCAGATTCCTGGCTGAACATATTCAAAATGTTATGACATAATTTCCCAAAAGAAGAAACACAAAATGGGGTATGCGGGCTAAAGACAGGAAATACCACTGATGGCTGAAGGGACTGGAGGACGTTAATAAATAAGGACTTCTTGTTTGCTTTGTTTTGCTACAAGACCTCACAGCACTCAGATTTCAGATATCTACCAGTGTCAAATTTGACAGTTAATAACACAGAAAACTGTTTCATCTAAAGGAAAGGGAGTAGATGTATGAGGTAAAATGCAAAGGAAGTTTTTGTAAACAATGTGTCACACTGTATAAAAGCAGGTCAAGGAAGTGACTATAGCTATAGTCATATTTTGATGACTTTAAATACCTGGATACATTTATTCATCAGTTAATGGGCATCAACAGTCATAGCTGAGCACAGTAAAATCAAATTGTTGCTGTTTTATAGAATGGATGAAAATGAGGACAGGGAGCAGAAGAGACCAAAGACATACAGAGAAATAGGAGGCAGGATGCCAGTTACACTAGAGAAGAGAGATTACAAACCCTCAGCCAGATTGTAGAAAATGGGGAGGGAGCAATGAATACAACACACACTATGAACATAAAACCCAAGATCATGACTTGTAAATATAAATAGGACTAGTATATAGGGGAGAGGAGAAAGTCGAAAATATAAAATGTTTACGGCCAATAAAGTAGTGGACTCATCTGGGAGGACTGGGCTGTCTAGGAGGACAGGATTCAACATCAGTAGTTTTACTAGTGAGAAACAGATGTATTTTATTACCTTGGTACTAGCTGATTGAAGCCACCACGTCTTCTAATCATCTCTTTCAATGTAAGAGTCTCGTACTCCATGTATGTAGTTGCAGTCCAAGACTTCTGGATAGCATTGATGGCCTTCACAAAATTGTGATCATATTTGTAAAGCTTATTAGAATACCTGCCAAGAAAGTGATAAAGCTTCAGCTATAACCTTTACCGATCCAAACAGACCCAGTTAAGACTGATACTTAACCTGCATGTCTAAGTGGCTATTGGAATTAGTCTTCCTGGAAGACAAATTGGCAACATGTATCAACGTCCTAAAATCATAGTATCTTCTTTGAAAGTTCAAGGTAACTAAAATGGAATATGTAATGATGTTGAACAAAATACTTTTATAGTAGTGATAGACTATAAACAACCTAAACAAATCTTTTAGGATAAAGGACTCATTAAAATAAAAAGGAGTAATTATTTAACTGTATATTTTATTCAATAAAATTATCTACAAAATCATTCAGGGATATGAAAAGAGCCCATATAACATTAATTTTTAAGAATCCAACCAATAAGGTTTATATAAAATTAATTTTATAACCACACACATATATATGTGTGTGTGTATTATATATATATGTATATATATATATATATATATATATATATATATATATATAATGCCAATTATGATTCTTTCTGGGTAGTGCTGTTTAAATATTGCTTTCCACCATTGTAGTTTCTATAAATACCTTCATAATCTTCAAAATTATGAAGAAAAAAGAGGAAGATGAGAAACTATATATAGTTTATATATATATTAAGTATGTAATACATATATGTATTACATATACATTTGTAACCTGACAAAGTGAGCCTTACATCATGCCTCTGTGAGAGTTCAAAACTTGAATGTTCACAAATTGTGCATTTGATGTACCATGCAATATTATAATTACATTATTTATAAAACATTGTTCCATATGTGTATTTTATGTCTTTATTAAAAATGTGCTTCTTAAACTAATATCAGCAGTACCTGGAATCTCTTAAAAATGCAAATTCTACCCAAACTAGATAACTAAATCAGAATCTATATTTAATAAGTTCTCAAGGTGATTCACAGTAATATTAAAATTTAAGAAGCACTGACTTACCTTACACCAAATGCTTGCATACAGACATTAAGAAAAAAAAAAAGAAATCTGATTCAGAAATCATATTTACAAAATAAAAATAGAGTTGACAGTTCACTTACTGCAAACATTTAACAAAACTATGTGTCAGGTTCTAGGAGTTACAGAATTCACTATATTATTCCTATTTGAAAACTGTAGTTTGAGTATGATTCATTACTGAAGACTTCCATGAGCATTCAATTCTACACATTCTTCTACTGAGTAACATTTTAGGTACACTGTAAACTTCTCTTTCTCTTTGAAGTACCATATTGGTAGAGACAAGGTTTCAATAAACTTAAGGAAATGGAGAGCTCTGAAAATAAGAAAAACTGTGCAACCACGCAACTTTTTAATGTTGCAATCAAAATTCTTTCCCAATTGTTGCAAATATGAAAGCAAAGTGGTTTCTTTATTAAATACATTGTAAGACTGCCTGTGCCATACTTCTGAAAATATTGACACAGTAACATAAACAAGCTATATTTGTTTCTTTGGGTACAAGAGTAAATTTTAAATTTTAAGTAAAATATTTCTGGAAACTTTTTCAGTGCAGAGTTACTTTTTCACTAATTGTAAGTATTTAAGAACCCTAACTAGCCTTACCTGTGTTGCTTAATCATAACAGCCAGCTATGGATATGGCTCAGCAGCACAAGTACCTGCCTGGTAAGCTCAAGGTCCTGGGTTCGATTGTGAGTACCAAAGAAAAGATAAATAAGGGCTGGACATATATAGCTTAGCTGCACAAGCTTCCCGGAAAGCTGGAGGTCCTGAATTTGATTTCTGGTACCAATAAATTAACATCTCGTACAACCTCATATATTGATATGTGCATTACAATAATGACAGGATGTCATCTGAGGTCTTAATGATTATTTTTTGTGTTTAAGATTCGAGATTCTTTTTTAAATGTATCCTGATATACGATGGCAGATCATTAAGACAAAAAGAGATCTTGAAAGTGATTTAGTCCTAACTGCTCATTTTATGGGTGAGTTTTGAGCACTCTAGTGGGGAGCTTCTTCAGTAAGTGAGACAATGTTGGAAACATAAAGCACCACAATAACTAACGTAACTAAATGATAAGGTAACAAGTAAACCACTTAGTAGGAAATATGCAGCTAAGGGACCAAGCCAAACAAAGCTATTTAAACCTAAACTCAAAACAAAAGGACTGAAATACTCTAAAAAGATGTCAGCACTTTCAGAGATGAATGTGATTCACCTCTTTAAGCCTCTCTTTCCTCATCTCTCTGGCTGCAAGCCAGTGTTGCCTGGTTTTGAGAGACTGGTTCGTCTACATTTACAGTGGCAGCTTTTACAATTAATCTAGACAAGGCAAAAATATTTTTGTATCTTCCTCTTCAAAACTAAAAAGTCTGAAATTTCTTTTTAATGCATAGTTACTTAACAAAAACATTAACTGTATGTTATAAACTAAATGTCCCTTCATATTTGTGGTTGGAATTTAACTCCAATATCTCAGCAAGTGACTGTGTTTGGAGACAGGTATTAAAAGAGGTAATTAAAGTTAAATGGGCTCATTAGGGTCCATCCTGTCTCAGTATGTTGGTGTCCTTAATAACTGACCCCAGGGGAGGCCAGGTGAGAACACAACTGCTATGTTGGCTATCTGTAAGCTAAGGAAAGAGACCTCAGAAGAAACCAAACCTGGTGATTCCATAGTCTTAAACTTCTAGCCTTTGAACTATGAGAAAATAACTTTCTCACACTTAAATCACCCATTCTGTAGTACTTTAACTGCATAAATACTAAAGACTTTCAGTTAATTATGGAGTTGTTTAAAATGTATCATTTATATCACTTGTATGCATTACAACATAAACATATGTATCACATGTATAATGCAATAAATTATCATGATAACCAATGAAATGATCTTCTTCACTAGCAATATGCAATCCTGTGATCCTTTCTATGAACTTTTTTTTAAAAAGCCATCAATAGTCCATTACTTTGGGACTGTTGTAAAAAAATCATTTTTTCTGCCAGTTACGTCAACATATTTTTGCAATAAAGTTTTATATTAGATGGTTTGTGCTTCTAAACCAAATGAATTCAGTATAACCCAGATAAAAAAATTATAAAAATGAATATGCACTTGGATTCAGACATATAAGAAAACAAAACTGAATGTATGTTTTACTTGTGACAACTCACTTTTCCACGAGGTTTTCAAGGTGTGTTGTATTCATATTCACATTTTCAGGACTTCCCATCTTCTTTCCAATAAAACAAGCCCAGTTCCGGCCCAGCACATCATGTACCCACCCAATCATTGTCTCGTGGCAGTAACTGATTACTTTGATACCCTTGGTTTCATACTGTAATCAAATGAGAAAAAGAAAGACCAAGTGAAATCACTGTGTAACACTCAGGTCCATTTCTCTGTTTCTTGTTTATAGTGTAGAAGATCCTTTTTATCACCTGCCAAACAAAGCAAAAATTTCAACCAGAGAGGTCACATTCTAAGAACTACTCTAAAAAACAAAGAGACACAAACTTTCCCATACTTAACCACTGTACTCATCAAACAAAAGTTAGGTAGCAAAACACTTCCAGAAATGGTAAGACAGGAAAGAAATTCAGATTTTTAGAGTATTCACCATTTGTTAGCTATTTTACAAAAGTTACTTCATTTAATCCTCATAATAAACCTATGAGCAGAGAAAACAGCAAGCTGTTTTTACCAAAGTACTAAATGGAGGTTCAGCTCAGAAACAGGGAGGCACCGCTGCTTAAGGGAGACTCTATGCTCAGTCCATTCATCACGTTTTCCAGATGAAAAAGATTCACAACAAAAAGTAGTACAACTAATAAAGTTTTTCTATAAAAATAGATGAAAATCACCTTTTTGTGTCAATGGATTGATTTATTAAGACATGCTGATATGAGTAGAAGGCTGAGGTAAATTGATTATTAACTACAATATTCTCCCTATGGTCCTTTGCCATAGTTCAACATTAGTGCTCGAAAAAAATTATAAATGATTGATCCAGGATTTGAACTCAGATGTTGCAGGTCTAGAGCCTAATTGTCCTCAGGTAATAACACTGCTTCAATAGAGATGAGAGCATAGAGCAAGGAACGCAGAAAAAATATGCAATGCTATATACTTCTTGGGGTAGAGACTTGAACATAGGCGATTTTATCTTGTGACTTAATGGAATAAACTATTTCTAGAACTTTGTGCAAAGTGATTTGTATTTGGTTTTAGTTCTTTCACCTACAAAAAGAAGAAACTAGCAAAATTACCCTCAAAGGTACAAACACTGAGATTCTATAACCAAATGAAGAATTGTAAATATTTCCCAGAAGAGCCAGACGATGTGCATTTTAGGCTCTGTCAGTCATTAAGGGGCTACATGTGTTCATCTCTGCCACCACAGTACAGGAGCAGTCACAGGCAACATGTCAACAAATTCACACAAGAGATCAGTGATGTTTAGATGAAACCTTTTCATATAGTAAAAATAGGCAGGTTGGTTTGGGGGTCAGGGGCTACAGTTTGCAGAATCCTCCTGTAATCTAATGGATGCTGTATTGTAGAGGTTGGTACACTTCTTTTTGTAATCACTAAATATAAATATTTTAGGTTTGTAGAGTAGGCTTGTGTTAGTTATTCAACCCCTGTGGTGTGAAAAGTGTATAAGGAACACAAAATGAATGAGGTGGGCCAAGTGTTAATGCAGCCCAGCCTGTAGTTTACCTGCCTTTGGTCTAGAGGATTGAGGGCAGAGAGTTGCAGCTTCCAGTCTGGCATGAACTGCCAGATCCAATACTCTATGCTATGTTACGTTGCTGAACCACGATGGTAGGTTAGGTGTATTAAATGTATTTTTGACAGGCTTCAACTTTGGATGAGTTTATCCGTACTTAATCCAAGCTGAAGAACATCCATATTAAGGCTATATAAAACTTTTATTTTTGTAGAAAAAAAGAGTCTAGTATTGATGATTGCATATGAAGCAACCTAAACACCTTACAATTCCATTATGTTCTTCCCTTTTTGCATTTATTCGTAATCAAATTCCCTTCTCCGTTGTAGCTGATACCCCAGGTAGGGCAGGCCAGTACCTGTTGGTACCTTTGCTGTTTTATAAAGTCATCTGTCGGTTTTATGATTTCTTGAGATTTGCTTTAGAAGTCATCTGACACACACAGACACAAACACAATACTGTACATAGAAAAGCACTCATTGAAGTATAATAAATGTTAAAAACAGAAAATGAACTAAAAAAGGCAAAATGTTCAAATATAATTTTACTTTATTAACACTAAAGAATATTATGTAACAGTTTGAATGCTTAATGCGTCCTATAGGAAAGAGGTGAGCAAATTTAGGCTAGAGAGGGTTACTTGACTCTGTGGATACAAGTTTATTGGAAAATAGCATGTTCATTTCTTTGTATAGTACCTACAGTGGCTTTTATGTTATGATAGCAGAAACTTTATACTTTATAAACATTATACAATATACAGGCCACTCATAAATCTTGGAGATTCAAGAGAACATAAAAGTAAATGTATTTTCAAGAAACAAAAGAGAGACCTAAGAAAGTGACTGAACTACAACTAAGTAGCATTCCTGACACCATGACCACATCTTCATATAAAGCATTTAGCCTTCTTAAAAAAAAAATTATTGAGCAGTTACTAAGATGTCAGAGGGAAAATTCAGAAATTATATAGTGAAGAGTTAAAATCCAAAGAGCCTCTACATGTGTTTAAGCTTCACAAAACAATTTAAGACACTGTCTCACCAACTTACCCCAGTTAGCTAGGAACTTACAATATGCTTGTCTTACTTTGAGTAAGTGAGATTTCAGGCACTTACTACCACGCCCAGCAGAAACAATTAATTACTGAATAAGTGAATAGGCAAAACTGAAGTTCAGAAGACAAAGAACTAATGCCAAGTCACATTGCAATACTAACACAACAGGGGAGAAAAGTACATTTATATTTAATAAAAGTGTGATTATGCCATGATATCAGAGTACCAAACTATAAACACACAATGATTTCAGAAATGTCAATTTTCCTGGTTTTCTATTGTAACTTTAGGTTGATTTATAAGTTCCTTGAGCTTCCTAATTGTACATCTTTATATCTGTAATTCTACGTAAAACCAATAAAGTCAGATAAATAATTCATAATAGACACATTCTTATTTATATTAATTTTCTTTAAAATTACTACTTTGATTGTTATTAATTCAATGTAAATGTTTTAAAATACTCACTTCTGAATATTGATGCAATTTTCTTTTTAAAATTTTATTTTAAACCACTGTATAGATTTTACAATCTAAAATAATTTGGTGTTTTTTAGGACCCAAAATTACCTAATAAAAAGCAGAACAAGGTTTCCAAAGACAGAACAGGCCTGTGCAATACAACAAACTAAGGTGTTTTCCAGTTCAGAAGTCAGGCACCTAACAGGTACTTGATACTGTAACTTAAGGGACCACCCATTGTATCTCTATTCTTTTCTTGAATATTCTTGAGATAGTTGTCATTCTCCTACTAGTGTAAAACCTTGAGTGATTTTTAACATTAGTATTAATTAAGAAGTTGAAGCTTTGGCCATGTTATCAACTGTAAATGCAAAGCTTTTTTTCCCAAAAGAACTTTCATTTATATAAACACTGATCTCTGAAGACTGCTTTCAACAGATGAGCTGATTTAAGTTTCCATTCATTTACGCCAATTTCTACGGAAAGAGGTAATTTCTTAAAATATGAACAACTTCCAAATCCTGTCTCTTAAAGTCAGAAAACTATCATGATTCAGTAACTATTCAATTACTTCTTCAAAATTACCATTAAGTTGCCCAACACTCTAAAAATCCCCTTTCATAAATTTCTTACTTTTACAACAGTCTTATTAGAATTACCTAAAAATATTAACTAATTGAAAAACAATAGCATGGGAAACTTCAGAACTTAAGTTACTCAATCTAAAACTCTTACTCTGTGGATTTTTGACACTCAGGAGCCAGATTTAAAAAAAAAGGGGGGGGGGAACGAAAGGAAAAAGAAAATCACTTTAGCTTTATGATACTATTTCTCTGGCTAACAATATAGTTCAAAAATATTGAAATACTTATTTTACATAAACACATTTGTTGAAGGCAAGGACCCTGCACTCTAAAAGACAGTTCTGTCACTTACTTCTGTAGTCTGTAGGAAGACTCAATTTCTCACTCTGATATAGGAATGATAACTATAACTGACACTATTTAACTGGACCACTATAAAGAATAAAGATGATTTTGAAGTTGGACAAGCTTGCAGTGTTACAAAACATTGAACAAGCAGCAATGTAAACCTTGGTGTCTGTTGCTATGATGAATACAAAGCTAAGAGTTTATATACACCTTCAAATAATGTATATTCTGAAATGTTAATTCATCAGTTGACACTGGGTTCTACTTTTCACGCTGGTTTCCAAAATGAGATGAAAAGACCATTTGAGCATTGAGTAATGTAATTTTTGTCTATGCTTGCAACATACAAAGCATTTTGCCCACCAGTTTTTGCTATTATTTAATATTTAAAGTAGTGCTCATGCCCTCGGCAGTTCCACGATCAGATAATCACCTGGCACATACAGTGTGATAGTTGAGTGCTTCTGAGATAGTGAAGACAAAGCACATTCTCTTTTGCATGTCCACACTTTACCTAACTAAAACATTTTAGCTGATTTAATCAAGCTAATTTTCATAAAATAAAGACAAAAAACCAGAATCTTCAAATACTGATGCATACATACGAAAATGGCAAAGAGTACTCTTACCCCTATTCTGAGTTTTCTTAACCACATTAAAAGATGAATTTTTGAAAACAGATGATTTTTAAATTTCTTTTCTTTTTTGAATGGTTCTATCACTGATAGTCAATTTTTAATCATATTCACCTATCAAGCAAAATTTATCACTAAATTATCATTCCTAGTATTAGCAGTTCATCTAAAGTTTTCTAAAGCTGTGACACCTCCATACTTCTAATAACATTATGTTAAAATCTACTGAAATTCTCTTAAAGAATTTTAAAACACATTAGAAAACAGTGTCCAAAAATTGAAACTTTAGTCATGGAAACTATTTATTGATAACAAAGATTCCAGCATTGCTTTTTTTGCAATCAAATCATGATATTGAAGCATATGTTGCATAGCTTTTCAAATGATCTCTCTTTGAAATATATGACAATTTGTGACATTAATAGATACTATTTAAACAATATTTTATATGTATGAACATATGTGTACAACATTAGTGTACTGATTTTTGCATGCGATTTTTAAGTGTCTCTATATA